AAATGGACACAGTGATTTATTTCACGTATAGTAGTAGATAATTGTGGGGAAATTGAACAGGGTCTGTGAACATGGATGATTATTCAGGGATTCTTATTAAGGGATCATTTTTCTCGGAGGAGGTGGGATAGGGAGGAAATTGGATTTTTTTTTTGTGTTTTTAATGAACATAAAGATGGACAGTTCGCATGTAAACCCCTTGTCGTACAGACGCTTTATTACACTTTATTATTTGAATGTGTAAAATGTGTCCCAAATCCATTTTATTCATTTAATCCATTTAAGCTCTAAGTTTGAATCTAGTGGGACATTGTCTGTTCATACCCAAAACTAACATTCTTTAAATACCAGCACTTTTGAAATTGTTGAGGGTAATAAACTAAGATGGTTCTTATTGAATTTCTCCATGGTGCAGCACAAGAAGCTTAATTCCAGAAGCGGAGTGAGATGACATTTCAGATCAATGATTTGAATAAAATGTGCTGCCCCTTGAAGTGCATGGCTTTTAGGCGCTCCCACACATGGCTTTTAAGCGCTCCCGCGCATGGCTTTTAGGCGCTCCCGCGCATGGCTTTTAGGCGCTCCCGCGCATGGCTTTTAGGCGCTCCCGCGCATGGCTCTTAAGCGCTCCCACGCATGGCTTTTAGGCACTGCCGCGCATGGCCTTTAGGCGCTCCTGCGCATGGCACATGGCTTTTAAGCGCTCCCGCTAATAAAACGTTGCTCCCGCACATGGCTCTTAGGCGCTGCCGCACATTACTTTTAGGCGCTCCCGCGCATGGCACATGGCTTTTAAGCGCTCTCGCTAATAAAACGTTGCTCCCGCACATGGCCCTTAGGCGCTGCCGCGCATTACTTTTAGGCGCTCCCGCGCATGGCCTTTAGGCACAACCCGCGCATGGCCTTTAGGCGCTCCCGCGCATGGCACATGGCTTTTAAGCGCTCCCGCTAATAAAACGTTGCTCCCGCGCATGGCTTTTAGGTGCTCCCGCGCATGGCTCTTAGTGTCGCTCCCGTGGCACCGTTTCCTGCAGGAAAGTCCAGATGCAACATCAGCTGGAGAAAAGTTTCACTATTGATTTTATTCCTGCCTGTTAGCACCTACAAGTTAATGAAGATTCCAGGGCTGCAGGCTTGGAGCTGGGATTTCAGACAGACAGAGCTGGCTCTCAGCACCAAGAGTGACCTCGGGTCCCATAAAAACTGAGGTAAGGCTCTCTGTGCAAAATACTGATTGGGGGGTACTTTTGAAGCTAACTTTTTGTAGCAACTATAGCACCAGTGGCGGAATAACTGTACACTGTACCCTGGGGCAAAAATGGACCATGTCCCCCCTTACAAATTCACACCGAGAGCCTGCCTATGCCAGTTGCAGCAGGTGCAGATGATGAAATTTAAGTAGCCTCTGAATATCATACCCATCATGCACTGCAGTAGTTAGCAAATTCCACAAGTATGCTTTTTTCATTAAATACACGCCTTGGCAACAGAGTTTGACTACACAACATTATAAACTATTACATTTTATAATAGTTTTAAGTATTGTACCAAATGGTTTTTGTGTTATGACTCCCACCATAATTAGATTGTGTACACAAAAATGACAGTTATAAAAGTAGCATGTCACAAGCCTATATATTGTGCAAATGCAGATGGAGGGGGCCCTTAACATTGTTGGCTACCTGTTTGCCCCTGCATACTGTAGTATAGCTATCTGGATGTTTGCTTTTTTCTTTCAGGCATAGCATGTAGCATAAGATGTTACTATAGGATTGTCTGCATCTGCCTTCCTTTCTACTATGGAAGCTGACTCAAAATTATCCTTCTTCTCTGTCACCAACGGGATGATTTCTCTTAATTTTTTGAATGACATTTAGATTTGGCCAGAGGGTAAGCCAGTTCGGGGGGGCTTAACTGAACGGACTGGAACATTTTGATAGGCGTCAACGTGGCATCAGAGAGACAGCCTGAGAGAAAAGTCAATAAAGATCAATAATGGTGTGAAAGGGTTGCTCTCAAAAACACAGATGCGACACATCTTTTAGATGTTGCGCGTGGGCGGCCTCATTGTGAGCATTTTAGGCTCGCTGCCAATTAGAATTTGAGGAGAAAGTCGCTCATTGGCCCACTCGCCTCTCATATTAATGTGTGTTTGTGTTGAGCCCTTGTAAAAATGGGCCGATGTTCTAAAAAGAAGCATCTCATGAAATAATGATAAGATTGTTGGGTAACCATGACATTGCATTAGGAACATCAATTTTTGTTGAGTGCTTCTATGTGTTTGTCAGAAACAAGAGAAGAAAATAATTTTAGTCTCAAAACATCTACGAGATGAGAAGAAATTCTAATAACGGTAAAAGCTTGATACGTGAATATTCAATATGTGGAACTGAAGGTTTCAATGATAGCAATGCTGTTGAAGCACAACCCATACAAATCGGTAATGCTGGCGTTACCTAAGACCGTGAGCAGTCAGCTTTCAAACGAGAGGCTCCAAACAGGAAACGGTGCCTTGGTTTGCCTCCCTGAACACCCTCCCTCAGTCCTACTGCTTATTTTAACGCCCTCTCTTAAACTTAGCTTGACTTGAATGTTACCTGCTAAAAATCTCTACTACAGCTTAATTACCCGCAGAGTCTTCCGCTCTCCTGCGGCGCTTGAGCCGGCCGACTGAGGCGTCCGTCGCATTTTAAAATGCCCCACAGAAATGTCAGCGATAGCAAGATGCTTCAGAAAGCGCATAACTCGCAGTAATACAGCATTGAATATGCAGTAGTATCTGAGTTATAATCTGGAAAAAAAAAACCCTGTTTAATGCACAGCTATGGGAGACGTTTGCTGTGTAAACTAACGTACGTCTGACTGCTGAATGTGGCGGAAGGACGTGGGGTTTGCCGGCATGAATCTTACAGCCGGGATCCTGCTCTCAGGGGCCTGGGTCTGTCTTACACTGGCTGCACCAGCTCAGCCCATCGAGACTGGGTGACATTCGTAGTCAGTTCAGCCTCACCCTAATATTAAAGAGCGGCACGCCTGTTGCACATGTGATAAATGGTCTGCGCTTTTATCACTTGGGTGATTCTCCATCCCGCTTTCTAGCTGCAGGCGTGTGTCATGAGAGAGGACACTGCATGAAGCAGTTTATTTCCCTGGTGACTCTGCACTGGCGTGCTGCTGCAGTTGTTCTGAATAGCACATAGCCCCAGTCTCTTTGCAAAACTAGCAAGCTAGTTTGAGGCTGCTTGTCTAAAACTAATTCTGTGTAATGACACACATCCCAACCTGGTATCCCAGTCAAAAAATGACTCCCCACTTCCCGGGTAGTGATTGCTCTTCGTCTCCTTCTTCTTTCTAGCTCCCCTTCCTGCTGAGAGCACCAGACACCTCCGCTATGAATGTCACGGGTTTTAACGCCAGAGATTATTCGCTTTGTTTTTTTTTTGGCAAATGCTTGGGAAAGCGTGAGTGAATCTTACAGTAACTGTCATCAAAGACTTGGAACTGTCGACCTCTGGAGCTGAAGTCTTGCTTTAAATTTCATGATTCTGTCTATCAGGAATTTTGTTGCTCTTCTGGAAATTGCAAAAGGGAGGGCTGTCCCAAGCTGATGGACCAACCAGGGCCCCCGTAACACAGAGACATGTTGATTAGGGAGATTGGATTCTCACTTTGATAAAAACCATGCAATAGGGGCAAATTCTGTTACCAGAATCGCTAACAGAACAATAACTTCTGTTAGCGATTCTGAGACACCAGTTCGATCCATATATACATATATTTTATGATGATCAAAATCTAATATCGTTCAGTAAACAAGATTAGAAAAGCAAGCCGTTGCATTGGATTTTAACTATAGTTTCACCTCCTCTATATATCTGAGAATGTTATATATTTGAGCATTCAGGTAAAACATTGACATTATAAATAGCTTAAGACAGACAGCAGTAAAATAGTTGGATAACCTTAATTGAACCACAATTTATCTAGAATACAACCTTTCTTGGAATCTGTGGATGGTTTACAGTACTTATCATCAGGATGTTTTATGCTGTTTTTCTAATAGATTTTATTAAACATCTTGAACCGGACATGTGAGATAATATTGCAGAGTAAGATATTACTTATTCTCATTATGAAAAACCATTCTCATGCTGTGCTTCCATGAGGTGTAGACAGGCTGTCAAGACCCAGAACCCTTGGTAGTTAATTTCATCTGGTCATCACCAAAAATGCAACAATATTCTACATTATTACGTATTTCCTCTAATTTGCTTTATTTGTATATTTAAACCTTTCTCTAAAATTGAAACACCTTAGTTGTAAGAAAATGTTCCTGTGAGGGTTACAATGATCAGATGTGACACAGTCAATACAAAGTAGAGTACCATTAAAACTTATACATTTTAAGGCATAGAAAAAGCTTCATGAATCATAATTACATTTAATGTCCCACCCACCTTAATGGCTATTTACCTTTTTTGCTTTTAACTCATAAATAAAACCAAGTAAAATATTTTGAGCACTCGATTTTAGGCATCCCTGTACAGAAACATTCCTGAATTAAAATAATCCACCAAAGTACGATAAGCATAAGACATTAAGTTTATATGATTATTTGAGTGTGTTTAAATAAAGATTAATAGCAGTGCTGTGTAACTTGTACTGACTTCTGGGTCACTGACCCCAGCAAAACCATTACACACCCTGCAAGGTTCAACACACTTAAATAATAATAATGTTAATATGTATAATTTAGTGACACGCTTCAGTGAATTTATCAAGGATGAGTAAAGGTGTAATTCAGGCTCAGGATTTCTAGAGCAACTAACACCTCTTTGGTCCTTTTCTTACTTTCCCCAAAGAATATAACCAGTCAGTGGTGTGTTATTTCTTTATTTGTTTTTCACCTTGCAGTAACAGCAGTGGTTTGAACCCCACCTGTTTTTTAAATGTAATTCACACATAAATGCTAAGGAAATACAATGCATTTGGTTTTATGCAAAAAAAAGCTGAAATGACATAATTTCTTTTTTTTCTTGAATGAACGATGAATTGTATTATTTAGTATTGCAATGCTATGCCTTTCCATACAGTACAAGACTGAGTCCATAAATATCTTTTAAAAAACGTCTAGCCCATTTCAGTCACTTTAGTTGTAAAAGATCTCAATTGCATTTTGCTTTTCAGAACTTATCAGAGGTAGGTAATGTAACTAATCTGTGGCAGTGTTTCTGACAGGATGTATTTTATTTCCAAAGATGCTGCAATTGCTTATTAGTACATGCTGGCTTCTGTAAACGGGTAATTAAAATGTGTTTTACAAACATGTTGTGATATGTTTACAATACAGTCCAGGACTGGGCACATTTAGAGGTTTGTTACAATCATTATAAACCTGTATTTTTTATATTCTTTTATGTAGTCGGTATATCCATAAACCCACATATATTAATCCATATCAGAAAAAATAGTAAACAAAAAGGAAGTATACACAAAGGTAGACATACACAGAAAGCATTTCATTTGAGTACTTTTAGAGAACAACAAATTGAAAAGCAAACAGCAATATAGAAAGGAAAACATAGAGTAAATGTTACATATAATGAAAATATGCAAACACAAATTTGGAAAAATAAAATCTTGGCCGCAGTGAATTGATCACATGTCCATTCTATCCATGCCAATATTAACCCTATATCTGCTAACTGTATAAGTCAAATTATACTTGATTGCCTTGACTCAGTTCATTTTAAATAGTAATATGCTAATATGTTGTGAGAGAATATGGATCAAGTAAAAATTTTCCTCCCAATAAGGAATACAAGAAAATTAAAGTCAAAGCACGACAATGCGTAATGAAGATATGCAGATGAAGAGAGAAAATACAAGGGGCAGGACAGCATCAACCGAAACAAGAGCGTGCTGTTCGCGAGGGTGTGCGCGAGCTTCATAGGGAGCTATTTAATGCGCTGTGTAGAGTGTTGATGGTTCTTTCAAATCCGACTGTGTCCGTCACCAACAAGAAAGAACATAAATAAATAAATAAATAAATAAATAAATGCACGCACACATACATACATAATCACAGCAGCCTCTGACAACAATCTTGCAGCAAAAAGCACATTTCTTTTAAGTCGATAGTAACTTCAAATTTACATTTTTATTATCAAACAGCAACAGGCTCAGGCAGTTGTGAAAATTCTACCTGGCCTTCAGCACAGATCAAAATCGGCGTGAATGACCTGTTAGTTCGCTGTTCGTCGTCTTCAGAGCAGCAGATACAAAGCGGAGTGCCAGTACTGTGCTGTTTATTTGTTATTCACATTATTCATTAAGATCGCTAACACATCTGTCACTCTTGATTGTTTTTCTCATCTAATGAGCATCAGCTACATAGAGTGCATCAATTATCTTATGAAGATATTCTGTTATTTATAGTTATCAGACAAACCATTATGAACATGATGTACCTGGTCAGTTTCATGACAGCAGAAATACTACAATTTCAATATACATATATTTTCATTCTACATAAAGTTTTTAAAACCGAGCGCATATTTCTCTAGCCGACTTCTTACTCATAGACATTAACAGCGTTTTAAATAATGCTTTTTGTAAGTAGCCTATATTGTTTCTGACACACGTGCCTGGCTACGGTTCTGGGTGCGATATCATGAGAGACAGCATCTAAAACGTATTAGTTTGTGAAAAGCCTTCTTAAAATCTTCATTTGACATAGTATAAATGATCGGATTTATTAAAGAATTGAGATAACCAAGCCAGGTGAATACATCAAACAACTCTGGGTACATGCATGATGTACATATTGGCACCAACAGCGTGTAAATAAAAAACGGCAACCAGCATATGATATAGGCGCCCAGGATTATCCCCAAAGTTTTGGTGGCTTTTCTCTCCCTCGCAGCAGAGATCCTCTTTTTCTCTAAAAGCGAGTCCGACACGGTCACCTTCACCTGGGTCGGGCTGCCGGACGGAGCGCGTTCGCGCGCGGTGATTTCCTGCGTGCCGTAGTTCGGGGACGTGCCGGACGCCGCGGATCCCGGCGAGTCCTCGATCAAGTGCGCCGAAGTGAGCCTCTTCCCCTCTTTTTTCAGCGGCTGTTTTAGGATCCTTTTCCTGGCCTCGACGTAGATCCTACCGTAGAGCACTATAAGTAGCAAGGTGGGGATGTAGAATGCCCCAAAAGTTGAATAGATAGTGTAGAAAATGTTGTCATTGTTCACGTTGCAACTGTTCAGCTCCTCGGCTTTCACATGGCGCCAGTATAGGGGCGGCAGGGAGATGGAGATGGCTATGACCCAGGCGGTAACTATCATCCCGGCAGCCCGGGCTGTGGTCCGCTTTTTGGAGTACTCGATGGCATCAGTTATCGCCCAGTAGCGATCCAGCGCAATTACGCACAAGTGAAGGATAGACGCCGTGCAGCAGGATATGTCTGAAGATAACCAAATGTAGCAGACGATCTGTCCTAATGTCCATGTGTGGCTCACTGTGTACACGACACTTATGGGCATCACCAGGATGGACACTAACAGATCCGTGACCGCCAGCGAGGCTATAAGGAAGTTCGCAGGAGTGTGCAGTTTCCTGGACTGGTAAATGGTGGCTATTACGAACGCGTTAGACAACGTAGTGGCAAAAGTTATGACGGACAGGGTTGCACCTAAGCCGGCCTGAAAAGCAAGATTGGGAGATGCCCCGCCAGGTTTGGATGTGTAATTGGAATTGGTGTCGTTGGCTGAAGTGTCCAGTATTCCGACATAAATGACAGGCGTCGGGTTCAGCTGGCTTGGACGCTCCATCCCTGACGAGCAGCTAGTCGCTGTTTAACGTAATGTCTTCATTCATATTGTTTGGCGTTTTCCCACACTGACAAAAGATAATTGTTTTTTAATTGAAGTTAGTATTAGTCCATCTGAAATTTCGCTTTAGTGATCACTTATTCCATTCAAAAATTATATAGTGGTTAAGGGAAGGCACTTTTCCTTTTTATATATAAAATTTGTTAAGCTGGCTTGTAAGCAGGGTATCATTTAGCCATTTACATCTCCATTCAGTTTCAAAATTTTAAATGAATATAGCTGAGAGATATTTTAATAGACAGTTGCATTGTATTCCATTTAGTCCTTAATGCGGTTTAAATAACGAAAAGAAATGTAATTAATTAAAGTAGTTCAACAAGTTTAAATGTAAAAATCATAGCATGTTTCGCAGTTTTTCCTTTTTCCTTAGCCTAGATATTTTAGTCCATTGTTAGAGGCGTTGGGATCAGTTCTGCGGATTCGGTAGTACTTAGTTGTACTGGTCTGCGCAACTTGCAGCTTCACTTTATACAGCCTTTGCAAGCAGAAACTGCCCGAACAGGTCGCAGTACTCCTCTCTCACTCCTCTCTCACTCCCTTTCTCCCCGAAAGGAGAGCGGGATGAAATCCACCGGGTCATAATGCCCCTGGGTTCCTGCTCTCTGCGCATGAAACCTTGCAATCGTTTGACAAATTAGTATTCAAATACAATCGCTGTTAGAACAAAAATGATTCAATAGCTGAAAAATATTTCACAGATACCTATCTCTATGTTCTAAAACCCCTACCTCAATCTAAGCATATAAAATCCAGAATTAACAGAAACCATGTTTATCAAATTATTACTTTGGAAACCCTTATAAACATATTTAATACTTGTGTTGCATTTGACATAACAGTTGGTATCACTCATTACAATTTGCAATTAATCATGCACTTTAAACGTCAAAAGCACTAATTCTGAAATCCATCCATCCCTTTTTTTATAGCTGCTTGTCCTATGTACAAATCTTAATCTTGCATGACCAGAAAACATGACATAATTCTCTCTCTAAACACTAACCACTCTCTCTGTCTGGGAGATAATGTTCAAATTGAATCTGCATTCTGACAGTCAGCTCATTGCAGGGATCCCTAGACCCCACTTTCACTCACTTTTAATATTATACATTCAAGAACATCACAGGTAGAGTTTGATGTTTGCATTTGGGGAGCAAAAATCCATCTTGCTTATTTTCAGGATCTATCCTCCCTTGTCCTGTTCTGTCCTTTCCCTGTTTGACCAGTGGGTGTCACTGGTCATCCCGTTCTGTTCCCTGTGTTTCCCTAGGTTTACCCCTGGCTATATTCCACACCACTTTCCTTGTTCCCTGAGCCATCGTGTGGTTGAATGGGCTGAGCGTGTGGCTGTGAACCAAGTATCCACTTAGGACATTTAGAGTATTTGTGCCTCAATTTTTTAGTAAACCCCACATTTTATCGTGTTCCTTGTGTTTATCAACTAGTTTAGTCGTTGAGTTTAGTAGCTTTGTTCTTAGTTTCCCTGCCTGTGCCCAGTCTTGTATCTATGTTCCTTGTATCTCCTGGAGTTTGAGTCCCTAGTGTTTGAGTGATTGTAAGGTGCAATATGTCAGCATATAACACAATTTTAACCTCACAACAGCATCCATTTACTGAGACAGTAAACAGCTGCATTTAAATAACTAAAAAACAACTGCTAAATCTCTGCATAATACTTTCTATTAGCTAGGCAAGTAACACATTTGGATGCTGAAGACATGGCAAGAAACCTTTATTCAACAATGATATCTTGCCAAAAGGTATTTATTTTGGCCTGCCCACTCCATAATTGATCATTGTGTGAAAAAAATCAATATATGATATAAGGCAGCAACTTAGACATACAATATCATCTGTGGAGATGTTCTTATAACAAATGCTTTGTTAACAACAAATAATTCATATAAAGATATTGAATTGCCTTAAACTATTGTAATGAAGAAAACTGTAAAATTGAAGTACATCATAGAAATTCTTCTACCTCGTCTTGCTCATCATGAGACCTACTCCTACTTTGGAGACAATAACTCACCAAACTGTGTGTCTCCAGACTGAAGAAGAAAGCTACACCCAGAGGGGGAGGTGTGACATGCGTGGAACATGCTAACTCCACACAAACGGCGGAGGCGGGATGCCAGCCTGCAGTGCTGGAGGTGTGAGGTGGCAGTGGTACCCAGTGGTACCCACAGTGGTACCCACAAAACCACCACGCGCCCCAAACCCAGATCAAACTGCTGGGACATGTACACTTTATTCCTGTTACCTATTAGCACAGGGCTATTAAAGTTTAATTTTCTTCCTCCTGTTTCTGTTTTCCCTGCTGTAAGCTGTTTTTAATTTCTTAATTACCAGCACTGTTCGATCACCTCCATGATTGGGGTCAGGAAGACATTATTAAGTTTTTCCCAATATTGGCATTTTGGATATATATATATATATATATATATATATATATATATAGTAATGTGCTTTGTGACAACTTATATGCAAAATATGCAATACTAAGTAAAATTTTAATGATTAAGATTGCTTTTATTTCTTTCTGGTTTTGTATAATTTACACAAATGTTAGAATCCAATTTGACATTGAAATTTTCATAAGCAATATTACATCTGCTTCTCTTTCCTATTTTAATATTCCTATTTTTGTATTGTTCATGAGTCAACAAATCCTATTCACTGTGTTAGAACTGAATAGCGTGTCATTTTGATAGTTGCGTATAGAGGGTTGTTTTGATTAGTTTTGGGGCTGGTCATTTATTCAGGCTTTTTCATTAACAATCACCTTACCATGGAAACACCAGAGGCAGTACCTGGCAAAGGCACTAAGGTCGCAGACAAACAGGACATGGAAATTAAAGCCACCTTCCTCCTGAGGTGAGCTTCTCTGAAACCATGTCCACAAAGTATTTTTCTATCTGTGAAATATCTTTTCTGTTCAGAATTATCACTGAGTACATGCGTCACTCGCTCACATTAAGTTTTAAATGGACTGACGTATAGGGATATTGTTCCAAATTGTTTTAGTATTACGTCCTTGTTAAAGTGACTGTCCTACCCATAATTCAAATGTGAAGGTCTTCCTTTGGGGTGAGGCAAAGCACCCCCCCCCCCCCAAAAAAAAAAAAACATTTTAATGATGTATTACATAAATATCTTTTTGGAAAAGGAGATATGACAAAACCAAGTCTGATGAAA